AGCTAAAACAGCTTCTGAAATACCCGGATACCGGCATCACGGTTACACCTGAAACTATGGAGGTGTTCACACACGTATACAGTATCGGCGACCAAATTTCGGTCTACCGTTGGTCCCAGTCGCCCGGCGATTTTACAATTTTGGGGTACTGATGGGCTATTGGTTCATTGGACCTGATTACACGAAGAGACTGGTTAGCCCGCCACTGCATCGCCGAAAAAGTACTTCACTGCGAAAGAGAAGTTTAGAATGCCCAAAGTCCGCGAAGTGTATTTAACATAAATTCTGACGGCAGACTGTACCTTGGATACAATATCTCGCATACAGTATCACCGTGAAAAAGACGTCTAAACGGCGATTCATATGCAGGTATAACAAAAAATATTGAATTTCAAATCAATTTCGTCGAACCTATTGTGTGGACAGATCTAACAATTTTCTGTCAAATAAAAAAGACGTTTTACGACCACTACATACACAAAACCTTTTTTAAAAACATCAAGATAATGGCAAATTTTGCTACAAAGTGTATGAAGTAAATGATTCATTTTAGTTTTATAGTTTTATATCACGACCATACTTACCGATGATGTGACTTTTTATAACAGAGTCATAAATAAGGCATGGCATTGAAAATTAAATCAGACAAGAGCGTTTTCGGCCGTATTTTCTGTGTCGGCCCCGCAATAAATTTGAATTAGCATACTTGTTACTTTACATTTTTTTCATTGTCATTCCTCGTGACACATTATGTAATCGAAAGATTTGATTGTGTCATATTTGTCCGTTTGTATCGTGCCGTAGATGGCGTAACAGTTCTAGATCAATAGGGAACGGATCCGGTTAATTAATTTCAATTATGAGCAGGTATATAATTATTACAACCGGAGGAAAGTGTGAGAACAATGGAATTATAAGATAAGGAATTATTTGCTTTAAACCCATAATGATTGTTAGTGAAATAGATCTGATAGATAACTTCCTAGGTGAATACATGTGTTATTGTGGAAATTAACTGTCAGATAACAAAAAGTAGCCCCTTTGACATTGTAATCAAGTTAGTGAGCTAATTATTCAATTTATCGTAATTCTTTGTGACTATTTCCTAAGTTTATTCAAAATGAAAGTCGTTAATTACTAATCGAATGTTCATTTCAATTCATTTAATTAATCTGGTGGGGTTTATTATGGATAAAAAAAACTATATTACATATCTAGCTGGTATCCAAGCTATTTATTTATTTTGTTTCGTTGTAAAACGATCATTTCCTAGGGAAACTTTTTCTCATTCTCGTTATTAATTTTGTTTTGTCATCATTTATGTGACAGTTCGGATTTGATTTATTGGGCACTTCGTTTATTTTCATAAAAGGTTGATGCAATTATCTAGAGATAAGGATGCATTTTAATCAGAAAATCGTAGAAAATTGTGCATTGATACTTCCGCGTAATATTTGCCTACGTGACTGAATAGACCGTCTTGTAGCGAAGCTTTGATTGGTTTGTGGAGTTGCAACGCTCGATAATTGGATACGAAATTTCGATTTGTTTGCGGAGGGAAGACGCGTTAAGTACTGTAGTTAGCGTTGAGGCCGAGTTGTGGTTCGGTAGAAGAAGCATTTTGCCAATTTCGAGGCCCAACTGTCCTTTGAAGTTTAGAAGACGCGCGTTTCTGCGTTAAAATTTCATGGCAAAGGTTTGCCTTTCGTCGTGTAATCAGAGTTCAAGTTCAAGTCAAAGTTCTGAAGAAATCGTACGTAACAGTTTGGGGTAGCAGTTTTCATTGAAGTTGTCGTCCTGTGTAAGTTAAGTACGTTGTTTTCTTTCGCAATTAATGTTTCTGTGTGTTCGGATTTTTTTTATTGGGATTTGTAACCGAAAACTGGACCTAAGTAGTCTAAGATTTCTTGACTTTGTATAATTGTATTCGCGTAGTAATAAGAGGTGTGTTTAAACGGACGCTGTTATAGTTAAATTTTGATAATTAGGATTTTATGTTTATATTCATTTGTGTGTGTGTGAAATCATGCAAGTTGTGTGTTTATTTGATCCCCTTAACGATCCAGATAGGTCTCATGCTTAATTATGATTCATTTTGTTGATCCGTACCCAAAGTGTACTTCAGGTGTTTCCTTTCTTTTGGAATTCAAGGGATCGGGGATTCGGATATTATAACGCGCAAGCAACAAAATGCAAGGCACTACAAAAATACCATGTGCTTTATAAATAAAACACACGCCGCTGACCGGCCAGCTAGCTCTGTTGACCAAATAGCAAACAGCGGAGAGAGAAAGACTAATGTACAGGGTTGTGGGTAACAGAATTAACTCAATTGGTAATTGGCACTTATAACTCCTCGATCCAGCCTAGGTCGTCAGTACTTACTTTTGGTCGCTTCAATTAAAATCTCTATGGGCGCCACCTAATTCCAAGTTAAGTTTCGCTTGCCACTACCGGAACTAGGAAAGGTAGCTTTAGCTTTAAAGTAGGCAACTGATAACCCACAAAAATAAGTGTTTATTGGGTGCAATTGCACCTGCATACGTAACCACAACACAAAAGTTATGTTCCCCGAATGGGAATCAAAAATCAATAAAGTATAATAAACACGTTATGTAAAAACTAAACAACCCCAAGTATAAGTGTTGAAATAATTATCCCAAATTCCAAGGTTTACATAAAATTCCCCCAATGAAATATTACATAAATTTAGTAGCTGAAACTAGTTCACACCAAAAATCCTGAAAGTAGGTATAGAACACCCACTACCGTTGCACAGTGATTGAGTTTAATGGGTTAAATTGACAGTGAATTGAATACCTTGATTGGTAGCTTGTAGGGTATCGAAGTTTAAATCATAGTATAGAGCTCTGTACTTCACAGGTGATTTACTTCACATGAGTAAATGCAGTTAATTAACGCAAAATTATTCCCTTTCAAGTTCAAGCGTACTAATTAAGAGTAATATGGGTGGCTCTGGTGTTCGGCCAGTTAACATTTACCACATAAGTATGGGTTAAACGAAATGCAAATACACAAAGGCAATAAGTAGTTTAAACAATAATAAGATATCACCACTACGATAGGTAGGTCTCTGGTTCCTAAGATTCCTGGTGTACGTGTAAACGGCTAACGGTTTTCTATGTACCGCAACAGGTGTCAAAAGGGTTGGTGTCCGCAGTATCTGTTTGGCTGCGCCTTAGAGATAGTAACGTTTCAATGGCAGATTTTACAGTACACGGAACTCCTGCATGTTGTCGTTTAACGTAGATGTGTTTCGCTTAGAGAGTAAGTAGAAGCTACGGAATCGTTGGACTTTGACTCCTTACAAGGACTCTAAAATATAATGTAATTATGGCCACGGTTAACCAAATATAATGCGCTAACCTCTTAAAGCAGAGAGTACACAAAAAAAAGAACTTCGTTAAAGTAAGGTAGCCTTCTTATACCATAAATACGATGGATTCCCCCTAGAAATAGAAAGAAGGTAAAGTGGATTCGATCACACGGAGTATAACTTACGATCAAGGTGGCTTGAAATTCCTCCAATGCAAAAAAAAATTCCTTACGGAAGTTTGTCCCCAGGCATTAAAACGAAACTGCTTGGTGCAAACATTAATTTGGGTTGACTTGGTTAAAAGATGCTTTCGCAAGGGTGTTCGATCCAAAATCAACCACTGGAAGATATAACAAGCACCCCCAACTCGGGATCACAAATCGACGGTCTCTCTAAAGCAGGTGGCGAGAAAAGAAGACGCTAACTTTCTTGTTTCCGGTCACGATGCAAGCGACGACGAATAATTCCAACCAACCACGAGAGCCGATGGATATGTCAATACCATAAATGGTAATATCTAATGCTTATCGATAAAGGAAACGAATTTAAAACCAATGACAGCAAGGTATCGAATTACAGTCAACTGACGTCATTGATCGGTAGATCGAGAAACTAAAACGGGCAGGCAACACAAAAATATAAAAGTAACTAGAGAATTAACATATTGGTTGCATTCAACGATGCGCGAACATGTAATACAGGGTAATGGAAATAGAAATATGACTACAAAGGTTAATACTATTTTAAACTGTTACAATATGTTCTAGAAGAGTTTTAATTAGAGAGCTAGCTAGGTTTGAGGAGTTTTGTCTATGGTTGAATTTGGTGGGGCCATTGCACACAACATTTTTGTTTGGTCGCCCAACGTGGGGCAAATTGTACATCTGTGTAATGGGTCTTGACCTGTAGTTTTTATTATTACTATTGATGCTTATAAATAAAAAATTGTAAAGGGCAGTATAAAACCTAGCACTAGTCGTATAATTTTACGCTTAGTGGCCAGTAGGAGACTGACAAACTGGTCATGTAACGTTTTCAAGTTAAAAATTATAATTTAAAATGAACTGGGTAAAAGTGGTGTTTCACGATGACTACTTAAAATAGGCCAAATGAGAGGACTGAAGTTCGATGCTCTAGAATTGGACTGCTATTTAAAATTATGGGATGGGGGCCCTGTCTTTTACCTATTGGCGTTAGTGTGATACCAGTTCAGTTTTTGACTAAATGTTTATGAGGATTCCCTTGCCTATAGTAAATGAATTTTGCATTGTCAAACGTTCCAAATAAAATTGTAATTATCGCGAACTTAAATAAATGAGAATTTACTTCGATAGAATTTCCTTTCTTGAGATTTTTCAATTTCGTGCAAAATTGTATTGAAAAGGAATGATTTTCTAAGACCGTCCTAGGTAAAATGAATACTTAAAAATAATGTAAAAAATAAAGAAATGAGCAATTCTAAGAAGGAACGCGTGGGTATTCATCCGCGAAAAGTTTGATTCATTACGTTTAACTTAATAAAATGTTTTTTTATTTGCATTGAAAGCGTTTGCTGATTTTTTATCACAAGCTCTCTTATTGATCAAGTTTAAAATGGTTTTGTGCGTTTATTTCCTTTTTATTTGAACTTTTTCTAGATTTATAATATATTTGATTGGTTTAGGGAGTTACTCGTGCCAGCAGTGGACGTTACTTTTGCGAGGCTGGGAATTCGGAGGGAACGACAAGAAGTGCCCCATTTCAGCTTCGTGTCAAGTTTGAACCTGTATGCGGGGAGGGAGGAGGGCGTAAAGTTCTCGGCGCTGCTAAAGGCGAACCTTTGAGAATAGAATGTAAGGTGAGAAAATATCCATTTAGAATTCTTTCTCAGTATGAACATGAAAGTCGATAACTTTCGAGTTGGAAATAAAATTGTACATGCACTTTGAAATCAGTTCGTCGTAGTATTTACTTTTGATTTAGTGCTCTATTTTAAGATCTTACGGAACAGATTTAAAACACAATTTCTCAAGTGGAAGCTATTTTGTCTAATACCGCAAACGCTTGCGGAAGTTATCGATTTAAAACTTTAACAGAAAGGTGTTCTTGGTAACTTTTCTACTATAATCGAGAGCTCTTGGATTGCAAATGTCGATGTTATTTATCGAAATCGTTACGGAGACCGAGAAAACTTAAATAATAAATTGCTGTTGTATTTTCTGTCTTCGCTGTTTAAACGCGACTATAAAATACGGTTTCTGGTTTACTGGCACTAAATGCTAATTTTTGAACAGGTGGATGCCGAGCCTGCGGCCTCACTGTTCCGCTGGATTTTCAACAGCACGCCTGGGGTTTCCAGAGAACTGAGCGAATTTACGGCGGAACCTGGAAGTAGCATTTTGACCTACACCCCTTCGATAGCAGCACACTACGGCACTTTGCAATGTTGGGGAAGAAACGAATTAGGGTCGCAGCAAACGCCGTGCGTTTACCACATTGTTCCCGCCGGCCGGCCGGATCCGCCGAACGGATGTGCCGTTAGTAACACTACCCATCATTCGGTAACGGTAAACTGTAAAAAAGGATTTGACGGTGGTTTAAGACAAAAGTTTGTGTTATTAGTTTCGGTCGCGGAAAATTTAACTGCGAACTTATCATCGAGTGTACCTGAATTTCAAATTTCTAATTTAGACGCAACGACCGAATATATTGCCACGGCGTATTCGGTAAACGCCAAAGGGTGGTCGAAAGCGTCAAACTCAATTTTAATTAAAACTTTGCCGTCTCCAGGATTAAAAGAATTAAGAAGATCTACGGGCCCATCGAACGAAGAGAAAGCGGAGGGGCCATGGTTGTACATATTATTAGCCGCCGGGTCAACTTTAATTGTTGCAGGCGCAATAGGTGTAATTATCTTTGCCGTTAAACGTATTAAAATTGAAAGTCCCGTTCGCGAGAGACGTTCCAGAAGTCCGAAGAGAGATGAGCTCCCTTTAAATCCTCAAGTTTCGGCCTATACCGACACTGTTAACGATGATAAAAATCCAGATCTTATCCCTCCACCGGATTACGGTAAGATTTTTTTTTCGCAAATAGATATTGAATGTTCCTTACATCAAACACCAAACAAAATACTATCTAAGATTCATCACGATTTGTGTGATTATTTTTAACTTTAAAAGCGAAAATCTCCTTCTCAGACATCACCAAGTCTAAGTTTGATTTTTAAATTAAGATTAAACGAACTTACCTTAGGAAGTTCAATAATGATTAAACAAAGCTGTCGTCCGAGTAATCTGTGTAGTAATTTCGCATAGATTTAAACCAAAGAAAGAAAGGTGGGGTCCGAGATGTCATTGATCTGAGAGTAACGATACCTCAAGGCTGGGTCAATGAGGGTGAACCCGATCACTCGGAAGGCAACTTTATGCAATTATGCGAGAACTTCCCCAAAGGTAAGTTCGTGTAATTATATAATTCCGCCCTCATTGCAGTGATCAATATTTAAAGAACACTGTTGCGGTAATAACTAAAGTCTGGTGTAATTGAGGAAGGATCTGGAAAGGTACAAAACGGGTGTATTCAGCATCGGTTGTAATCGCAAACAGATCTATCGCTGGTGAACCAAATTTTTCGGTAATCATGTAAAAAGCAAAATTTTCTAATTTGCATTCATGCGCCATTTCTAATTTATTAAAAAATAAATACAATAAATAAACTACTGGGCGTAGTAGAACCACTGGTAGATTTTGTGTGTTAGGATGAGGAGTCACTGTCGTGCGTACTTGTAGCTGTTGTTGTTGCTGGTAAGGAAGCATCATCATCTTGGACTGAGGCCACTTCATCATCTGAATCATCCTTGTCTCTCACTGGATGCTGCACTTCTTGAACGAGAAGGCGGAATTTTCTTCAATTCTCGACGATATTTATCCTTCTTGTTCTTCCAGTGCGACTGAACGGGTTCTTCTGGAAATGTGTGTTATTCGTGCGTTGGTCTTCAGCTTTCTTGCAACCGGTACGACTTACGGTGGCAACCATTTGACAAATGACAAATGAATGTGAGTACGGAGTGCTAGTAAGATAAGAACCGTGGTGTGAATATAGGATATATTCACTTCACGGTAAGAACCAAACTGTCTATTGAGGGCACATTGGCTATTGCGTAGGCCTGGATCAAAAAACTTCTGTGAGAAAAACACATTGGATTGTCAGGTCCGTGAAGTTGGCAAAGAATTAAAAGCACTAACATTTTCTTTGGTGGTTTTGATTAGTGCTACGTTAGTGCATTTTAGTGCTTCAAATAGTTCGGCAGCAAAATATAATATAACGGAGTAAATCATATTTTAAAATGTTCTTGCTCAATTCACGGTGGCTCAACAATTTGCGAGAATTGCGTTTTTTAAAACATATTTTTAATGCTTCGTTAGCGCTTCTTAGTGCTTCAACAAAGTTATTAAAAAAAACAGTATGTTGCAGCCAACTTCACGCTAGCAAAAAAGTTCTAAGATAAGAATCAAGTTCAGTAATTTTCATTTGCTTTGTTAGTGCCTCTTAGTGTTTCAACAATTTTCCAATTAACTCTGATAATAAAGTTATTGAAAAAACAGTATGTTCCATCCAACGTCACGTCAAAGAAGTTCTAAGCTAAGAATCAAGTTTAGTAATTTTGATTAGTACTTTGTTAGTGCCTCTTAGTGCTTCAACAATTTTCCAATTTACTTTGACAATAGCAAAGTTATTGAAAAAACAGTATGTTCCAGCCAACTTCACGCTAGCAAAACAGTTCTAAGATGAAAACCACTTTTAGTTATTATGATCACTGATCAGTGCTTCGTTAGTGCCTCTTAGTGCTTCACAATTTTTTGATCTATCTTTGATAGTTACGCAGTAATTCTATAAATAACATGTCGCGGCCCACTTCACGTTAGCAGAAGAAGTTCAAAGAAGGGAAGCAAGTTTAGTCATTATGATTAGTGCTTCGTTAGTGCTTCATCAATTTGCCAATTAACTTTGATAGTTACGGAATCCTTATAAAAAGTATGTAAGCAACGAACACTATTTCCTAATAAATATATCTACCTAATAATTTCCTTATATACGTTTGTATTTACAATAATTGTAAGTAAGGATTGTATTAGCAATATGCGAGGAAGTTTATTATAATATACTTTGACCAAATCCAGTGTGGATTTGTAGTTACGAAAGTTTAAGTAAGCTACACCGTTTTTTTTTAAACTTAGTCTATTTTGAAACAGTAGGTATATAAAAACTTTCATAAGTGAATAATTTATTGTCCATAGGTTATAAAAACAAATGTATATTATTACAAGAAATAAATAAAATATTGATTAGTTACAATGTACAGAATATCAAGTGAGGGGTTACTTCCATATCAGAATTTACAATATTCATTTTCTTCTTTAAGTCATACAACTCCCATTTGCCATCTATTCGTCTGCAGAACGTTACAGTGACCCACAGCACTTGGTTCTGACGATAGTGGTGCTATAAAATGACATATTCCTTTTAGCAATAAGGTGTTTTCCAAAACGGTTACGTAAGGGGGTACGTCGGATAATTTAGTATTACAACATCCGGTGGTTTCGAGTACTACGTGATTACAAATACTAATATTGTACTTGTACAACTACACATATTTTCGGAGTATAGTGAATTTCTTTCTAATCCATTGAGAATGGTTTGCTCAATGTTATGATATCACATATTGAATAAATCAATACTTTCCTAATACCAGGTCAATTTTAAAACACCTAGTACCAGGTGGATTCGCCCCAGTGTTGTTTTTGCAGATTTAATACAAAATTAACGTTAAAATGATATAAAAGGGGGAATAATGTGAGATATCATCATTTCGAAAACGTAATAACTATTAATAGAAATAATGTAAACATTTACAAAATATAATTGTATTGAAATGTTTCTAATTTAAAAAAAAATCATTCACATTTATTACATACTTTTATAGTATTGCTGTGCGATCGACACACAATATTATTACATTTGTGACATTTGGATTTATATTTGCAATCTTTCTTCCTTGGGCAAATATGGCACCTTCCTTTACTTTTTAATTTTGGTGGATTTGGTTCTTCTTCGGGTTCTAGTACATTGTCGTGATCTCCCAGTTCTTCCAATATATTCTTGATACTTTCCCTTGTGTTGATGGTTAGAGTGAGCATCTGCTATCAACTGTACAATTTTTCTAGTTCTTGATGAAACTGTGGCCATTTTTAAAATGCACTTTCAAAACTTGCTGTCCTCTTTTCACTTTGCTACCAAGGACACGAATAAAATTTGGATAAGGAAGTAATATGATTTATATAAATGTACACCTTACATTGTGATATAATGACCTGGTCATTAGGTAATTGTTTCAATTATTATTTCAAATATCATTATAAATAAAGCCACCTTTTCTTTCGGAAATGTATATGTAGAGTAGATACAATAGGAAGGTAATGAGAAGATTAGTATTGTTTCCGCTAATGATGCTTTGAATGAATAGAAATTAATTAGGCCCAAATGCAAAACTGCATAAACAACCCGAAAGTGTAATTTCCATATCAGTAATTAAATTAACGTTAAATTTCTAAATAATTGTGGGCAATAATTATATTGCAAATCACCGATACCAAATACCACACTCACTACAATAAACAGACAGATTAACGTATCAATCAGTTGATGACTTAGAGGCGCGACAGTCCCTAATTGCCGTGTAATGTGTAAGTTGCGTTAACCGTATAGGAAACGGAATTACGAATCTCGATTCCGTTTCCTACACGATTAGCTGGACTTTTTTCATCGATAGGAGAAAATTCCCTGCCAATGCAATTTTTTGAAATAGTTTTCCCATTTCATTAGTAGGAGGAAGGGCGTTCCTAATTCTAGTGCTGGAATCGAACATATATTTATGGATGAGTGCAAAGAAGGATGGAGATAAACATTCGTTCCATTTAGTAGCATCTTCAGTTCCCTGACATATAGTCACCGAAGGCCCGTGAGGTAGTGTTGCAGTGGACATATTGTTTGATATCTTCTGCTTCTTTTCTTCTCCTCCTATAGAGATTGTTGCCCCCTCTATCCTCTTTGCCAGTGCTAGATGGAACTCTTCTATGATATGTAGGAACATTCTCAATATCATGTTTCCTGAAGCTATCGCTCGTCTGTCTTTCTTTCCTCTTTCTTTGTGTTTTAAGTAAGAGGCGAAGCTTGTAGCAAGCTTTAAGGTGTATTGTCTTGTCTCCTGAAGAGTCCCTGTTGTTTTCTTGACCATTTTCTTGACTTTTCTCTTTACCGTTATCCGTTGTTTGGAAAAATGTAACCGGGCAACAATTGGAAGAAATTATAACAAATTTTAATGAAAACTGGCCATCCCCACACTGGTTTGGAACTATTGACGGGAAACACGTCAAATAAGATGTTTAGGGCGCAAATACCGGCACTACATTTTTCAAATATTTAAAGTATTTTTCGATAGGACTGCAACTGCAACTGCGAACAAGAAATTACATTTAAAGTTGTCGCTCGAGGATCAGAAAGGGAGGGTGGGGTATTGTAGTCATCGATATTGTTTCAAATGTTGGAATCAAATACTTTTAATGTGCCTTATATACGGTAGGAGAGTTGGCGCTGCGATTTCTCAAACCCGCCGCATAAACGGCCAACTAGCCGAGGATAAAACACAATATAAGAGCTTGAGACTCTTCCACGGCGGTAGTTCGTTTTGGGTAAAATGATTTTCTTTACTTTGGTGCTCAAGCGGGTTGAGCGCCACTCAATTTGAATGATTTGAAATTGAGAAAATACGAGGGAATGACGAAGAATACAAGTCAATTTAGATACCAAAATAAATGCTGGATTATTGTCAACAAATATTAAATAAACTCCCCAATGGGATAGCGTACACAAATATTCAAATTTTCAAAATGATAATTTACGTTACTTACAAATGTGAGTATCTTAACTTTACGAAAGTAAACTCCTAGTCTAACAAAACTCCAATCACGAATGATCGATTAAATTAATTGCTGGATCTTACGTTTGTACCAAGAAATTGATGTTTCGAATACAAATGCGCACCTGTACTGCCAAATAACAGTAAATCATATAAGACGACGCTTACCCTTAATTTAATAAGATGTTATCCAGAGAAGTGAGCTCAGTTCCCAGATCCATAAATCAGCAAACGTCTTTACGAGCTCCTAGCGAGTTCATAACTTTGCGTAACTGTCCGTGAGCACAATATTTCGAAAACGAGCGGACCGATTACGATGAAATTGTAGATGGATTCTTTATCAAATTTGTAGATCGGAGTTCGGGAATTGGTAATGTAGGTCAAAAAATAAAGAAAGTCATATAATACGCAATCCCAAGGTATAGCCATACCCAGGAGCGCGTTTATTTCGAATTAAGAAACGATGAAAATATCAGCATGATTAAAGAAATTAAAGTAGGTAACACTATTAAGTCAGAAAAACGGCATCTACAATTTGCGTGTTCAGCGGCATCTACCACCAATTGAACACGGTGGGGGGGGGGGGGGTTGATGGGTCTATGGCTAAATGATTTACCTGGAAACAGTTTAGATGATCTTCAAAGGCGTCTTTTGGAATCTTGAGATAGTATATCACAAGCTAGCAGATTCGTTAATTTCAAGTCTCGTTTCAAGTATGCCCCGTCGAGTATCTGAATGCGTAAGAAATAGTGCGGAGGATCAACACATTATTAGTGTCGTTTGAATTTGTTGTAATTGTATCATGTTGAAATTTTCATCGTTTTTTATTTCGAAATAAAGACAATTGTGCTGCAACTTGCATCAAAAGTGATCAAAGTACACTGGGTGTATAACGGTCATTTGTTTCGTAGCGTTAGCGGTAGCGGAATTACTGGCGGAATTATGGGGCAATTAAACATCACAACAAAGCGTAACGAACATCAACTCAAAATTCCTTTTATTTTCTCTTTGTACATTTGTCTGCGCTCTAAAGATAAAACCAAAACTGAATATTCACGCTATCTAGCGGTCAATCATAAAATATAGAAATAAATAAAGTTTATAATTCAACAACATTGTTTGAAACTTTGAAGGCGTCTGGCAAAGTGTAACGCCTCACTAAAGGATCTGTCTTATTAATTTTTTCGCTCTTTAAACATTAAATTTAATGGTGTAAAGATTTCGAAATGCCTCAAGAACATTTTTTGAACAAACAAAATCTTTTAAAATATAAGGGTTGATTTAGCCCCGCTATTCCTCAGCCAGGTCTGCAATTCTGTGTTTGGGTATTATTGGAGAAGTATTGGACAAGTTTTCAGCGTGCCTCAAATACCTACTCAAAAATGTCTACCAGCTCTTGGACTATAAGCTCACAAGTACGATACTTAATTGGCCAACCGTTTCAGAAGGAAGTGGTTATTGTTGAATTTAGAAACTATTTCTTAAACTCTGATAATTTGCATTGTTTGATAGAAAGTTTCAGAACGATACTTATGTCTACAGATCACAGTAGAAAACCCTGTCAATATGAAACTTGGGTTTGGACGTTGAGTGACAAATATAAAGAGGCGCAACTTGATTAATTTGGATGAGGTTTATTTCGGTACAGACATATGGACACGCCATTTGTTAAGAGGCATCGAGATGTGTCAGTACCTTAGCAAGTTCGTAAAAAGTAGTCGATTTCCACAGTCGTAGTATCGTTCGTGTTATTTGAGCGACGTTTAAGCATCAGAGTCGCGCGTCTACCACATTTGCATCCCTCTCACTGTAGACAGGGGGGTGCAGGAAACTTCGGCGAATGAGATGAGGAATATGTATCGCAATTTTACATTATAGTTGCGCCTTTTACTATTTCTCACTCAATGGTTTGGAACAATTTTCTTATTTTTATAAATATGTGGAAGTTGATGGCGAAATGGTCGACGGCGACGGCGAAACGTCCTAGACCGAAAGGAACACCTGAAAATTTCAAACAATTTGAAGCTCTTATCAAATTAAATAAAAGCAACCATTTCCAACCTCCATCTGGCCTACATTAATAAATGATCGTTTGGTTGTTACTTGATGGCCGTTGCACTAATGTTTGAGCGATATCGAAAACTCTCGAACTTGCCCCAGAATCACAAGTTTATGAAAAAGTGGCGTACTTGTGTTCGATCGAATATCCAGAATTAATTCGCTACCTAACTTACAACCATCTCTAGGAAGTGTGAAGCACCTGTAACGACGCAGCATAAGGCAGGGGGAGGGGGGGGGTCTTGTAAACATTCTAAACACGACACGACTTAAACCCTCTTTATAGGAGAATACAAGTATACTGAAAGCACCTAAAAAGAAAAACGGCAAAATCATTTTGTTTAAGTATCAACACTTTCTTTCAATCATTGAAACCCATTTTCCAGATACCTCCTGAGAGCTTTGTACAAACATATATTTTGTGAAACTTTCTAGAACTTCGACTGGAGTTGTATTAAAAATATTCTAAACACGACTTGTTTTGTTTCCTTCATTAGTTGGAGAGGTGTTACTTTAGAAGTTTTCACTATGTACCTACGTGACAAGTATGAAACTCCTCAACGTCTTATTTATTTGACGCGGCACAAGAAAAATTCCACATTTTTGTCGGTTTTTATTCCGCAGTTTAAAAGTTTATAAGGTGCAGGTGATGACTAGTTATTGGCAGTAGGTAGTGTTGGAGGTTTAATAAGCTCAATGCAATATGATGCCCTTTATTTTATGTAACGCGTTTGCAGCCATTGAATGGCTAATCAAACAGATTTCTGATTTAAATTACCCGAATGGTTATGAAACCTCAAATTATGACTTGCCAATGTAACCTCTTGTACAGAATCAAGAATTCGCTTTAATTCCTATTCCACATATCGCTTCTGTCTTTCGTTCTGAAATAGCCAGCATATTTAGTATTTTTTACATTATTGAATTTTGCTTGAAGGCACATTTAATCTCTTTCCTTTACATAGGAACTACTCTCTAATTCGTGGATTGGGGGTACAACACCTAATGAATAAAAATTTCGTTTTAAAACAATTTTATTTTCTTTTGCAGAGCATTTGAAGTAAATGTATTCCTAACATTTCCAATTACGATATTCCAATTCGACCAGCTACGTTGAAAATACGTAGATACAATTCATCAGGACAAGAGGCATAAGATATAAGTTCCGCGGTTACATACGATTCAGGAAAATGATGTACTGACCTATGTGCTTAATAGTTTAAGTGTAGTAGTAGTGTAATATATGAAATTATAAACAGTACATTTTACGAAAGGCATAAAAAGTACAGGTTTTACAGTCCCAAGACTGTTACACAGTCACATTAAAATTGTTATCCATTTACAATATCTAATTTTATTGGTGTCTTGAGGTTCTGATTTTTGTAATTTGTTGATATTTATGGTACAGGTGTGTTATGTTACAAATAAGCCACGCGGGAGCAAATGAGCTTCTCACTTTATCAGTTGATCGCGTACGCCACATAAGGGTGTGGCCAAGAACATGTAACATTTTTTACCTATTATTGTCTAATAAAATGATGACCTTTAATAAACTTCATGTCTTAGATATTTGTCTGTAAAAGCACCATGTAACGCAATACGTGTTCTGTTCTAGAAAGTCTTCATTCAGATCCAACGACCGCAGCTCCTTACACGATAACCGCCAGGCCATCGACGAAAAGGAACTGCGCAACTCAAATGCCTGTGAAACCCTACCACGTTACGTGGGCGCCAATGTTGCAGTCCCGCAACTGCTCTACTCAAACACCTCCTCCGCATAAGGAGAGTTCTGTCTAACCCCACCAGCAGTCTCGGTATCGGGACCAATTCCACCTGTGATATTTGTGAATATCTCGTATTTTTAAGCAACAATTATCAAACACTGTTATGCTGTTAATTATTTACAGATTGATTGTAAATAAAATACCAGTATATGTATTAGATATGCAATTATTATTGTTCCTTCTATATGGTAATTTCGTTCGTCTTGCTCAAAATATTTTCTATCTCTTTGAGTGTACTACCATGTGTGTTTTTTGGATCCGTATTTAAGGAATGAAATTATAAGTTCAAATAAATTTAGATCTCTGTTTTGATGATGCAGTAGGAGTTAATTGATTAAACATTAAATGGGGTTGATTTATAAAATATCAGCCCAGATTTTTTTATCTCTTTGAGTTTGGTGCTACGTGCAATTTGTGAATCCATGTATGGCAGCATGATATTGTAAAGTTTTTTAACCCTAGCCTAAAACCACAAGGTGCAGATAGTGGATAGTAACAAGGTGCCGTCGTATAAGACCACTATTGCTATATGTATTTCAGCCACAATTATTATCAACGTTCACTTTTTATATTAAAGAGTCGGTTTATTTCATATTAAACAATGATTAATACTAAAATTATCATTTATTAACATTAACTTAAACGTTGTTGATCCTTCTAGTCAGTACAGATTCTGAGGTGGAAACGAGCATAAACTCGCTTTTATGGATTTGTTCTTGAATGTGAGGTTTAGTGTGCGGGATCTCTTTAGTAAACTTTTCACCTTGATTAATTTTAACTTGAGCGGCACAAAAATGAACGTCAATATAATCTGACTTTACTAACAGTTTTCTTTATCACAATTTCACGTTTACAATGGATATTAGAGTATCTTTCTTTCGCGGTAAAATGTTTATGGAATTTGCTGAATAGCACTTGATTTTCAATATAGACAGTGTCATAACCAAAATGGAAACTTCACTTTTTCGCGTAATGGTTCCACTGGGGCAAAATGATAGATTTCTAGAACTACTTGATATTAATGGACACTAAACGTCGCTTGGAACTAGATTAACTTTGTCTTCTAAGCTCGGTTATTCCGAACGCCAAATTTACTCGTAATTACTTAGAGCCAGTTTCAAGATCTCCTTTAACTAAAGTCAACTTTATGTCAAAATTAAGACCGCTGTCATGGACGAACCCCTCCATTTCAAATGGAAAATAATATTGAGTTAGAAATTATAAACATTAATGATATTGATATCGTAGCTTGTAACGAATATCATAGAAGTTTGCCTTCAATAGCAAGATTAATTATTCATTAACGTCGACTTTAGTTAAAGGAGACTTTTCTTGATTATGAAACTGACACCAAGGCTCTTAAGCCGCTATACTAAGTTGACTTAAGACGCCTATTTCGTGATGGAAAGTAATGGAGGCGTTAATTTTCATTGGTTTCCAACTCTATGGTCGTCCACAGAAAGAGCTGACTTAACACAATTTTACCGCCTAGCTGACATTGTTAGGGCCTGTTGACCAGTGAAGAGAAGGAAAGGACCGAGTTATCAAGTAGATACTAATCCTAAGTAATCAACATAATGTTGAATCTAAAAATGGAAAATAATTTTATTAGATACAACAACGGTTGCTTTTATTTTAATAAATTTCTGATATTCAGAAACTTGGGCTTTGAATTTTAGAAATTCGAAGGGAGTCGTGAGTTTTAACTGATGAAATGTAAATAAGTAGATTAAAATCACAGAACGTGTCAAACGTGCTTATCATGGTACTAGACAGTAGATAAATTTAGTTACTTTTCACGAGCCGGCGCCTGAAGCGTTGGGATAGGTTTCAAAAAATCATCTATCTTTTCCCATACCCAAAGTTCGGGCGATATTTCACACCCACGCCACTTTTGCATCTGGTGGTACACGGGCAGGGATAAGCTCCTCCCCAAAGAATTGCGTCATATTTATACGAAATAAGTAGGTTCTGAGAAAATTAACCAAAACTAAAATAATACATTGTGACGTTACGCCACTGGTTCGTACAAGATCGGGACGAACCGTAAAACCAGGTGCTCGATGGGACGACCACGTGAGGGAGGAGAGCGTCTTTTGCGGCATCATGTAAAATGTCACGTTTTATCATCTGGTATTATTTTTATTTGTTTGTTTTGTAATAAATAGTATTTTTGCATCACATCACATTATGCTTACAGTGCTCCTAACGCTAACCGTAACATTTCGTATTTTCGTTATTCCTCGCGACGTGTAACGTGTTTGAGTGAAATGAATGGGTGTGGCTTTTAAGGCTTTACTGAAACACTAAAGNGTAACTCTTGCACTTTCTTAAACTTATAGGGGTGTAAGTTGTTGTTGTTGGCGATGTTCCACACTGTGTGCAGGGCCGATCTTACCGGGGGGGTAAAGCGTGTCAAACACGCAGGCGGCCGCTCCTAGAGGCGGCCAAAATACAAAATTTTTTTTGCATAAATTGTTAATTTATTTTTTGTAGGCATAGACAACGGCTCCGGCTCAACCAAAAATCGAGTTACATTTATATTTCTATTTTAGAGCATAGAGCAATAAATAACGATAACTAAAAGTAAAACACAAGGGCGGCGAAAGTCGCCGACCGGAGCGGAGATAATAGTCAGTGTAGTCATCATTTATTTTTTTTCCTGCTCATGTTACATTAAGATTAAAAATAACGGAACGAAAGAATGATACCTTGCTGGAAATTGTGAATAAGTTCTTCCCGGAAGAACACTCAACACAATACCCTTATTCATATTCTTATTCATTGTTTACTGAGTTGTTCCTACAATTTCATTTTACATTCAGCTGATTGCCATTGCCATCATTTAGCAAGCAAAGCAAAGCGAAAGCATAAGCATCACATCACATTATGCTTACAGTGCTCCTAACGCTAACCGTAACATTTCGTATTTTCGTTATTCCTCGCGACGTGTAACGTGTTTGAGTGAAATGAATGGGTGTGGCTTTTAAGGCTTTACTGAAACACTAAAGACTAAACAGTGAATGTGAAACTGTCTTGTTAACGTCTTTAATTACTCAATACGAATACCTGTCATGAATAAAAATCAAGCGACGACAATTCGAAAAACAAAGCGGCTCTCTGGTGCACAGTATCTAAAACGCGAGCTCGAGAAGGATGAAGAAAAGAAAAAACTGTCGCACTCACTTCATAAATACTTGAAAAAAGGTAAGATTATAAGATAACTGTAATTAAATTTATTTAATAATTTTACGATCAGTTGAGATAACCGGATTAGTGTTGTGCGCTGATATATTATTATTTTTGTGGTTTTGCCAGATTATCAACGTACTGATTTAACCAATGAACCTGAAACCAGTGGTATGAGTTGTGCGTCAACCTCCTCAAATGTCGTAGTTTCGGGGGAATCGGGGAATGCCAGACTGGAATCAAAATCTCCACCTTCAGATGCAGATGCCGATGATAATGATAACATTGATATTGATAACAGCGAGTGTAGCACCATTCAACGATTAACACTAACATCAGTTGCATTAGGAGAAGTCAGTTGCAATACGATTCTCCAGGATAGTGTAGATATTATTGAAGATGACAATTTTGCTGAACCAGCTGAAGATGAAATGCAACAAGAACAAGATGTTGATATCTTACCATTACCAGAACCAGAACAACTTGATCTAACTGATGCTGCTTATTGGCCATCCTTCCTTAGCACAAATATTATTGACATTATAGTGAAAAATAGACCCGTGCAAATCCGAAATTTAAATTTTCCAAAGAGTGGATCCGCTGGATCCGGTCGATTTTCAAATAATTACTATAGTAGAAAATTAGCCAATGGCGAGTGTGTGAACCGAGATTGGTTGATTTATTCTAAAAGTAAAGACGCTGTCTTCTGTTTCTGTTGCAAACTTTTTTCGAAAATGCCGATGAAGTTAATAAACGAAGGATACTCGGACTGGAAGCACTTAAGCAACACCTTGTCAAGACACGAAAAGAGTACACAGCACATAGAAAGCTATAAGAAGTGGATCGATCTAGAAAAAAGGCTCTTAAATTTAACAACTATAGATTCTAAAGAACAGCGTCTACTTGAGATGCAAGTCAAATATTGGCAAAATGTTATTGAGCGTCTTATTGCAATAATTCAGTTTTTGGCTAGTCAATGTTTAGCCTTCAGAGGAACCTCTACTAAATTATTTGCACACAACAATGGAAACTTTTTGCAATGTGTACAAATGATTTCGAAATTTGATCCTGTAATGTCGGAACATTTGAAGAAAATTCAGACATTTAAAAATAAAAAAAGCCTGCCACATTATTTAGGATATAAATTTCAGAATGAAATAATTTCTTTACTGTCAAACACTATCCAGATGCAAATAATTGAACTAGCCAGGAAAGCGAAATATTATTCTATTATTTTAGATTGTACGCCTGATTGCAGCCACGTCGAGCAAATATCTGTAATTATTCGCTTCGTTTCCTTAGCCGATAAAGTCGAAATTCGGGAACATTTCCTTGGATTCTATCCCGTTACTAATACTACAGGTCAAGGGCTGTATGACTTTATTACCAAAAAGTTGTTAGATACAGGGTTGGACATTGCAGACCTCAGAGGGCAAGGATATGCCAATGGGGCTAATATGCGAGGTAAAAACATAGGTTTACAAAAGAAAATTCTAGAACAAAATCCAAGAGCCGCATTTATCCCGTGTACAGCCCATTCGCTCAATCTTGTTGTAAACGATAGCGCTAAAGTGACTTTGGAAGTGGTTGAGTTTTTTAATTTTGTTCAAGAGTTGTATACTTTTTTCTCGTCATCAACATACAGGTGGGATATTTTAAAGAAGAATGTATCTAACTTGACCCTGAAATCGGTGAGTGCGACAAGATGGGAAAGTCGTATTGAAGCTATCAAGCCGTTGAGATTTCAGTTGGGAGAAATTTACGTCAGTTTAATTGAATTGCTTGAAGATGCGAGTCGCGACATCGATACGAAACACCAAGCCAAAGTCTTTGCCCAAAAAATATGTACTTTCAAATTTATTTGTTCCACAGTAATTTGGTATGATGTATTATCTAAAGTAAATATCGTTAGTAAGACATTACAAGGTTCAAAATTAAATGTTTAAAATGCGGTTCAAACATTATCTC